AGTACTGGACAGAACCCTAGAAGGAGGAGGCATCGAAGGTTGATCATTTGGAGCTTCAGTACGCGGTACAACCCCAGAAGACGAAGGCAATAAATGCCTTTGGAACAAACCCACAAACCGCTGATGATCAAGTAAAACCTGACCATCAGATTCCTTCATCTGGTCAAGCTTCCTTTTCATGTTTGTAGCATAGTCATGTGCGAGCCGGTGCAATTGTTTATTCTCATGCTTGAGCCCTCTAATCTCTTGTTTGAGACTCATCACTTCAGCCGCTAATGATTCAACTTGGCGGGTTCAAGCAAATAGGCGTTGGGCCATATTAGACACAGAACCTGCACACTGAACACTTAGAGCCAGAGAATCCTTGACAGCCAACTCATCAGACCGTTTGGAAAATAGTCTGCTATCTTTGGGAGTGAGAAGGTTCCTGGCCACCACCGCAGCAGTCATATCATTCTTCATCACGGAATCCCCAACGGTAAGCGGACCAGTAGGGGATAAGAAGGATGGGCGCCATATGTTGTCTGGAGAAGGCGTGGCTGCCTCTTCAATGAGGTTTAAGTCAAAACGACGGTCGGAGGGGCCAGACATTTTCAAAGGTGTTGAAGAGAGAAGAGGTCGGACAAATCAAGATCTTAGAAGTGCAAGAAGGGAGCTTCTACTGGTGAAGATTCAAGTGTGCTTTGGAACTTAATGCCAGCCTCTATAAATATCTGCACTTGACGGACCTTCAGAAATCGAAGAGGCGCCTGCCCAGAAATCGAAGAGGCGTTTCCTTTCCCAAAAGCTGGGCTGCTCAGAGACCACGATGGCCGATCTCAGAAATCGAAGAGGCGTTTGCTTTCTCAAAAGCTGGGCTGCTCAAAGACCACGAAGGCCGATCTCAAAAATTGAAAAAGCGCTTGCTTTCTCAAAAGGGCTGCTCAGAGACCACGAGGGCCGATCTCAGAAATCGAAGAGGCACCTGCTTTTTTTCAGCCTTGTCAGCACCTGTCACATGCACACTCAGCTTTGCTGAAATTACGGGCATTCTGTTGAAGATTTCTGGTGAAGTAGAAAGCATGTGAATCTTACTGTTCAATCATCCACTTTCCACACGCACCATCAGCTCATGGGTACCATAGATAACTTTGCCAAATATCTCTGACAAAGTTTAGACACGTGAAGCTTGCAGCTCCCACTACATCGCTATGACCAAGAAGGGTAAAAGAATAGCAAAGAAACAGCACTAACAAAGTTTAGATACATAAATTTTGAAGGTCTAGCTACCATATTATTACCTACAAGGGTAAAGGAACAGCACCGCTGCTGGATAATTGGAAAGTCCTTGTGTGTCAACCTCTGTGCTCTATGGCAAGGTAGACTAGCAAACATGCCCAACCTTTACTTACATTCGAGAAAACACTCCCAACAAGATTGCTTGCTCCAAAATCGAAGAGGCACCGTCCTCCGAATCTTGAGAGCCAGACTCCCAACATGATTACTTTCTCAAAAATCGAAGAGACACTGCTCTCCGAATCTCGAGAGCTAGACTCCCAGCAGGATTGCTCTCTCAAAAATCGAAGAGGCACAGTTTTCTGAATCTCGAGAGCTAGATCTCCGACAGGATTGCTTGTACGAAAACCGAAGAGGCATCGCTTTCTCAACTTCGAGAGCCAGATCTCCTTGGATAAAGCTTGTCTGTAATCTTCACATGCAACATCAGCTTTCCAGATACCACAGACCACTTTTTCAAAGTGCTCTGACACACGTGAAGCTGACAGCTCCCACTACCGTGCTATGACCAAGTAGGGTAAAGGAATAGCATTACTACTTGTTGTTAGGGAAACTCCTATATATGTCGACCTCTATCCCTCAACAGACAGGCAGACCTGCAAAAATGATCAACCCTCTGAGAGGGCACTCCCAACGAAGCCTCTCGAAATACTCAGCTTTCTTTCCCCCCGATAATACCTCTGCAAACAAGCTACACCAGAGCAAGAATATCTCATATCATCAGGGTTAAAAGCAAGAGTATCCCATATCATGTTTTTTCCCTGTCTTTTCCTTTGGCCTTGTTCTTACCTGCAAGACAAAGAGAAAGAGAGCAATCAGTTAGCACTTAGAATCAAGCTTCTAGTCAGGAACTAACTGCCTGGAACCCCTTACCTGATTACTTACCTGGCATTGCTCTCGAGTACCCATCTTCAACATCTTATGCTTCCAGAGAAGATACCACATCTGCCTGAGGAACAGATAGGGAAAGTGAGAAGGATACAAGGAAGCATGTGGAGACAAGCGTAACAGAACACGTGCCGATACATCCACTACTTTGTCAACAGCAAAAGTATCCCATATCAACAGGGTTGAACATACTCTAGATTTGATGGACATGTTTGACCCTCAAATTCTTCAGCCGGCCTTATACTCTGGAAGAAACCAGAAAATCCTCCAGCCCAGTTCAAGAATAAGCCTGTGGAAAGTCACTTCTTCAAAAGCAAAAGTATCTCATATCATCTATTCTCCTTTTCTTCTCTTTATCCTTCATGCTGCCTGCAAGATAAGGAGAATGAGAACAATCAGCCGGAACTCGAAATCAAACTTCTGATCTGGGACTGATTGCTTGGAGCTCTGATTGCTTACCTTGTCTGTCACCTCTTTCAGCAGATCCCCTAGCTCGGCGACTTGGGGGACTCCTACTACATGGTTTGTATCGCACTTGACCAAGCCTGAAACTACAAGTAAGCTTCAAGTGAAATTGATACATTACCTTGTGCATCTCCACCAGTTAAAGATACCACCCCTGGATGGAGGAAGCGTACTTCCAGAGAAGACGCCACATCTACCTATGAGACAGTTAAGGCAAGTGAAGACGAGAGCCTGCACCTATGTCATTTGTACTAAAATCATTCACTTGTACTCACTAAAGGAGAGCTTGAACCTATGTACTTGCGTAAACCCTTCACAATTAATGAGAACTCATCTACTCCGTAGACGTAGCCAATCTGGGTGAACCACGTACATCTTGTGTTTGCTTTCCTGTCTCTATCCATTTACATACTTATCCACACTAATGACCAGAGCAATCTAGCGAAGATCACAAACTTAATACTCTCTGTTGTACCAAAGTTCTCACTGATTTTGTGCATCAACAATCCTTAAGTCCTTACTTTTTTGCGTTGGTAATGGATGAGTTAACAGGACATATTTAAGATGATATTCCTTGGTGTATGCTTTTCGCAGACGCTATAGTGTTGATAGATGAAACTCAGGAGGGGTAAATACGAAGCTTAACTTTTGGAGAGAAGTGTTGGAATCTAAAGGTCTTCGCCTAAGCTGATCAAAGACAGAATATATGGAGTGCAAGTTCATTACAAATGGAGGCCAAAATGAGTTAGGGGTGAGGATCGGAGATCAGGAAATACCAAAGAGCGACCGTTTTCGCTACCTAGGATCTATCTTGCAAAAGAACGGAGAATTAGATGGAGATCTCAACCATAGAATACAAGCTGGATGGATGAAGTGGAAGAGTGTTTCCGGCGTGTTGTGTAACCGTTGTAGGCCACTAAAGCTCAAGGGAAAATTTTATAGGACGGCAATAAGGCCGGCGATGCTGTATGGCACAGAATGTTAGGCAGTGAAGTATCAACACGTACACAAAATGGGTTTGGACATGTACAAAGAAGGCCTACTGACGCTCTGGTTCGAAGATGGGACTACGGGATAGAGGTTCAGGGCCGAAGAGGAAGAGGTAGAGGTAGACCTAGGAAAACTTTGGAAGAGACCCTAAGAAAAGACTTAGAGTACTTGGATCTAACGGAGGATATGACACAAAACCGCGCGCAATGGTGTTCTAGGATTCATATAGCCGACCCCACTTAATGGGAAAAGGCTTTGTTGTTGTTGTTGTTGTTGTTGTTGTTGTTGTTGTTGTTGTTGTTGCTGATTCTAACAAAGGTGCTGCAACCCCAACCCCACAAATTCCACCATGAACCCCTTCTCTTCCTTAACTACAGTTGTGAACATTAAGCTGGATCGTTCCAACATTGTGATACTTGTGGCACATGAAAATAACAAAATTGTATTAATCAATTGGCTCAGCCAGGTCACTTACTATCATGACTTAAGTCACCCAATCAAATTAGCTTGTCCCCATCGATCTCCAAAATCTTCATCGTCGCTGTAATATATGAATAGACTTCTGCATTATATTATTCATTAGAAATGCTCAACACCCCCATCCAGTCAACAAAATGTTCCTAACTCACACAGTGTGTGCCGTGGAGCACGCTCACTTTCACACTTGGAATGGAACAACTCTAGAACCCTCACACCCTTGGAGTGGAACACTTGCTATTGAATCTTTGGTTGATCCTTGCTTCTCACTTGGTTTGTATCACAACAACACTCCAATTTATAGTTGATGTTTCCTGACCTTCCAACAGCGCCGCACCGAATAGCCACACAAGCTTACAAGCTTCTAGTCTGTTCCTCAAACATATGTGATAATAATTGCTAGATATTTCTAGCACGATCGACTTAACATTGCCAGAATTGTCTAGCATTTGCATGAATCATCCTTTGATCTTTCATCATAGGCTCGACCCAAACAATCTCTCCATCCAAACAGTCAACAAAATGTTCCTAAAATACTATATAAGCAAACCCTAAACTTATTCACGTATCCATTCGATACACTTTCATCCATCGTTAATCAAAACACGATGAAGTTGGACTTAGACACCCAGCAGTAGCAGAAACTAAAACCACCCCATGTAGCACTTGTTCCAACTCCAGGATTGGGCCATCTCAACCCCCTCGTTGAGTTGGCCAACCAACTCATCGTCCACCACAACTTTACCGTCACCTTCGTCATTCCAAACGATGGGTCGTGCACGAAACCCCATAGGAAAGTTCTCCAAGCCCTTGATCCTCTATCCGTATCCGCCACCTTTCTCCCTCCTATAAACTTCGACGACCTCCCAGAAGGTTCCCAGATTGAAACTAGAATCGCCCTCACCATGGCTCGTTCCCTTTCTGCCCTACGAGACTTAGTTAAGGTCCTAGCTGAGTCAACTCGGCTAGTCGCAATTGTTTTTTATGTTTTCGGTTCAGACGCATTTGATATGGCCAAAGAATTCCACGTGGCACCCTACTTGTTCTGGTCTACAACTGCCATGATGTTGAGTTTTGCATTTCATTTGCCAAGGCTTGACGAGACTACTACTTGCGAGTACAGGGACATGCCTGAACCGGTCCAATTCCCAGGTTGTGTACCTCTCCATGGTAGGGATTTTCTTGAACCTGTTCAAGATAGGAGCAATGAGGCCTATGCAGCCGTACTACGTACATCCAAAAAGTTGCTTTTGGTTGCTGGGGTCTTGGTCAACAGTAGTTTGGATTTGGAACCAAATGTTTTCAAGGCTTTGAAGAAAGGAAGAGCACAAGGGTTTCCACTAGTTTATCCAATCAGACCGATAATTAATCTCAGTCCGACCGATGGTGGAATAAATGGGCAACATGAGTGCTTGAGCTGGCTGGACAAGCAGCTACGTGGGTCGGATTTATTTGTTGCATTTGGAAGCGGCGGGACCCTCTCACTGAAGCAGATACAGGAGTTGGCATTAGGGCTTGAAATGAGTAGGCAGAGATTTCTTTGGGTTGTGAAGAGGCCAAATGAGACAGCTAAAAATGGTACTTACTTTGCTCCTAATAGGTTTTTGGATCCATTAGGTTTTCTACCAAATAAGTTTTTGGAGAGGACTAAAGATGTGGGTCTCGTTGTGCCGTCGTGGGTTCCTCAGGTTCAAGTGCTGAGTCACGCGTCACTGGGCGGGTTTATAACCCACTGTGGTTGGAACTCAGTTTTGGAGAGTGTCGTGAATGGTGTGCCTTTAATTGCTTGGCCTCTCTACGCAGAGCAAAGAAGTAATGTAGTATTGCTTGCTGATGATATAAAGATTGCATGGAGAGTGAAAATGAATGAAAAGGGGATAATGGAGAGCCAAGGCATTGCCAAGTATGCAAGGGGTTTAATTGAAGGAGATGAAGGGAAATTGCCAAGGAAGAAGGTGAAGGAGTTGCAAGAGGCTTCCAAAATTGCTTTGAGCCCAGAAGGGTTGTCAACAAAGTCACTTGCTGAGGTGGCTCAGATATGGAAACGCAACAACTGATCTGGTCCATCCATGCTTCATATCCATACATGCATTTTTAACTATGAACAATTTGTTTTGGTTTTTTTTTTTTCACAAGGATTAGGATGTTTGTTGTTAAATTGTGGGGTTTTGTATCATTATTTGCTTATAAATCATCTGTTGAAAATTGTTATTAGCACTCCAAACTTTTTATAATTAGAAAGAAAAATACAATAGTGACCAATAATTTTTGTGCCCCAAATTAATTTCAATACAGACCAAACCTACCCCCAATTTTGTTTTTTTTTTTCTAACAAAATATTCATTAAAGGGAAAAACCACAAGAACATCCCGTTTCCAATACAATCAAAATTAAAAGCATTAAGAGCAATAGAGGGTAAACAATGATCCTAAATGTGAGGAGTCTCAATCGAAAGACCTAGGTGGGCTAAGGCATCCGCGACAAAATTTGTCTTCGCATAGATATTTTAGAATTATCAGAGAAACGGATCCTTGACCCACTTACAACAACACTGATATTATCCCCAACTTGGTAATTACCACCTGCACAATTCGTCAGGTGTGGGGTTTTATCACAAAATGCCTCAATATTAGTTAGAGTGGGATTAGGATATTTAAACTCTTCTTTTCTCATTGATACGGTCGATGTGGGACATTTCAACACCCTCTCATGTGAGACCTAATTAGTGAGTCACACGTGGGAGATCCACACATCGACAACCATGGGGAGTCAAGGAGACTCACCCTACATGCGGGCCCAAGATGACCCACCCATCACGTGGTGGTAAAGTACGAGCCCTCTCCCTGGCTCTGAACCATAGAGAATTATCAGAGAGACGAGCTCTTAACCCACTTCTAACAACACTGATATTGTTCCTAACTTGGTAATTACCACCTGCACAATCCGTTAGGTGTGGGGTTTTATCACAAAATGCCTCGGTATTAGTTGGAGTGGAGTTATGATATTTAAACTCTTTTTTTTCTCATTGATACGGTCGATGTAAGACATTTCAACAGATATGATTCCACACCACCTGACTGAAGGAGCAAGCAATACAACGGGCATCCTCCAAGGAACCTCCCAATTTCCTTGAACATAAGAAGCTTGGAGTCTCCTTCTACCAACACCTTTTGGAAGCCCTTGGACCAAGCAAACTTGAGTCCTTTTAAGACCATCGCTTCAACAAATGAAATAGTGACCCCATCAAGAAGGCACCCGCACCCACAACTTGGCCATCATAAATAATATAGCGAATATTAACTGCTCCTAGTCTCAACTACATATTGATAGAACTCTCTTTGTCAACAAAAAAAAAAAAAAAAAACCAATGAAATGTGGCAGTAGAGTAATTTCACACAAACAAGTTTTTGTTGTTTTCTTTGTTTTTGAACCTTACAACCATATCACGCTATCACTATCCTCTAAACTCATTCTATCTCTCTCTTTCTCCTTAATTGCCTACTCCTTTTTTTCTCAGATGCCTACCAACCCTGTTAAAAATAAATAACAATTTTTAAGGGTTTGTACTAAAGAACTTGTGAAAAAGGTCAAAAGTCTGAAATAACCTTGTAGAGAAGTCATATGCGAGATACATGAATTATTTTAGATGACAAATTGAATAGTGTTAGGGTGAGATAACAAATTAATGGTTTTAGGAACTTAATATGATAAATCACTTAAAATTTTAGTTCATATTGTAAATTGAAAAAATGTGTATAAGTTATAGTCCTTATAACATTTCAAAATATTTATCCTAAATTAATCATACCATAAACGGGTCGACCCGTTTTAAACTTTAAAACATAAACGACCCAGAAACCGTCCCAACGTTATACCAAAAGCTCCTCCCGCCTCCGACTGTCGTGGGTGTAGATCGAAGCTCCAGTGACTGCGCGGTTATGGAGAAACCTTTGGTGGCGCTTGATAAAGGCACCATCTGCTCGTCGTGGAACTACTCCGGCCAGAGATTAGCCAGTGGTTCCGTCGACGGAACCCTCGCCATCTTCGACTCACGCGACTCTTGTTCTTCGTCCTTCTCCTGCACCTCAAAATCCAAGGTCCCTAACTCCCTCGTTTTTTGAATTGACTTCTGATTTCAGGAATTGGCCGATTATTTTTTAATTTTCTCCTGTTGGAATTTGCAATTCCGCTTGAAAAGGTTGCGGTTTTTTTTTCCCTGAAATGTTGTGATGGTTTTTGCTTTAGGTGCACGAGGCTGCTGGAATTGTGAAAATTGCTTGGGTTCCACCGGAATTCGGCGATGCAGTGGCGTGTGTATGTGCAGATGGGACTTTATCATTGTGGGAGGAAGTTGCTGAAGGTATTTTCATTGAATTTATAATCTTTTCTAACTGAAGCAGTTTAATTTAGTAATGGAATAGTGAGGATAGTGATTTTTATAATAAGTTTGAGGCGCATTGTGTTTCCCGATGCATATTGAATCACCCATTACCAAGAATTGGGTGTAGGAATTTTACGGAGCATCATATCTAATGAAAGTTTAGGGTTTGTTATTATCTAGATGCTCCTCTTCAATGGAAGCTGTGCACAAGCTTTAATAGCGGTTCAGCTCAACTGCTAGATACCCAATTTGGAGTCTCACCGGCAGGTTTAAAAATGGTTAGCTTTTGTTGCTGCAACTAATTTTCTTTAATTTTGGCATTGCGGTACAGTTTCTGAAATCAAGTTTGTAAGTGAAAATTTATGCTTGGGATTACTGATTTTTTTCCCTTCGTTTCATCTAATACGATTTAGGTTCTAGTTTATGTTCTATTCGCACCCTGTGCAACATGCTCAATGGACACTCAGTGAGAGTGAAATGTGACAAACTTTAATTTGTTTCGTTTTTATAGGTTACTGCATATTCAGATGCCCGTGTCAAGGTCTATGAGCTACTGGATCCCTTGGAACTGAAGAATTGGCAGCTTCAGGTGGATTTGATCTGGTTCAATCTGATAATGTTACTCTACCATGTAGTTTTATTATAATGTTATAATGCAGCTCAAATTGATGCAGAATTTTCTGATTGTGATTTTTTTTGCACAAACCCAAAACATTATATGTAAGTTCTAGTTGTATAGAATGATGCATTGCTATCATGAATGTATGTGGGAAGACTGGCGATTTCTTCCCCCAATCCTTAACCTGTTTTTATGAATGAGAATGGACCATGAGCTTCTGTTTCTGTTGCTCTTTCTGTCTTATTTTTGGGGCTCTTTCTTTTGTGTGCTTTTCTTGAAATGGTTACACCCTTTTACTTTTAAAGATTTCTTCCTCCAGTTGAAAACGATTCCTTAAAGAATTTTATAGTCTGCAACTACTCTCTTACCTTTTCTCATGATCTTTTGTACAGGCTGAATTTCAGAATGTTATTGATTCGGTGTCTACAGTTGGCCATGCCATATGCTTATCTGCATCTATATCTTGGAATCCACAAAGAGGAGAAAGCCAGGAATCAAGTTTTGTTTTGGGTTTCAATTCAAACACACCACAACTTAATTCCGCCAAGGTATGATAAAATCTTCTTTGTCCTGTTTCCTATTTAATTATCATTCATTTGATTACATCCGCAGGCCACATAAATGTTGCGGGTCTTGCTTGGCTCCTTAAATACACGACTCTATTTTCTTTATCTTTTATAGTTATGGTATCATTTGGAAGTCCAAAGGCTAGGTTAACTTGACAAAAGTGATATTGTACAAAATTTTATGATTGTACTTTACAGGTATGGGAATTTGATCAGGCTCATCAAAGATGGCTCCCAGTTGCAGAGTTGGTTTCGCCTGTTGACAATGGTGATCAGGTCTATGCAGTTGCATGGGCACCGAACATTGGAAGGTAGGGAATTGTCTCATTGCTCATCACACACTGTTGGGTAATGATTAGGAATTGGAGCTTTTCTGGTATTTGTCTTCATAAATTGGGAAAAAATGGCCTTGTTCTATTTTATGGCAGAGAGTGAAATTGGATAAATTTTATTCAGGCCATATGAGGTGATTGCTGTTGCCACTCACAAGGGAATATCAATATGGCATCTTGGGTTAAACCCTGACTTGGATGGAAGGCTCTCATTGGAGAAGATTGCACAACTTTCAGGTCACAATGGCGAGGTATGAATAAAACTATCGAAAAAGTTATCAATCAAGGAATTTGGAACGCAAAGTGATAGTGTATGTAGGGGAGGGGGTATATAATTGTACAGGCTTAAGAGGGCAAGATGTGTTTTCCCTCAGAGAGCAAGGCTATGAACATTCCTAATTGATTGATTTCTTCATGTTGTGATCAGGTCTGGCAGATGGAATGGGACATGAGTGGAATGACATTGGCAACCACCGGAAATGATGGGGCTGTACGGTTGTGGCAGTCTAGTTTGAACGGAGTTTGGCATGAAGAGGCTACTTTTGAACCCACTTCGTAGTCCCTCTGGTTTTACATGTTACTGTGCCAACTAACTGTTTGAACATTATTGATTGTAACTATACATTTTGGTTCAGATTATTCAAAATTGAAATTCGATGTGGGGATCATTTTCGCTTTGGGCTGTCCCTTTTATATGGCTTCTTGTTTCTTTAGAAACGTAAAAGCGAAACAAATTGAAACTATGGTTTAGTAGGACGATGGTGTTTGTTGGTATTGTTTTCTGAACAATCGTACATTGGGTTATGAAATTATGTGACTTGTTTCTTTAGCTTGTGTCTTGTCACGAGAACTTACATGGTTTTATTGCCACGTGGTGTTCTGGTCCAAGATTTGCTATGCTGGCCATGAGAATCAAGTATTGACAATTTGCATTGGGTGAAAACAAATCGTGCTCACACATGTATTAGACGACATCTACTACTCTTATCTCTGTGTGGACAAAATCATGGAGAAGAATACAAGCTCTAGAGTTTGTGTTACAGGTGTTCTGGTTTCATTGGCTCTTCGCTCGTTAACAAGCTCCTACAGCAGGGCCACACAGTCCACGCCACCCTCAGGAACTTGGGTCTCTCTCTCTCTCTCTCTCTCTCTCTCTCTCTCTCTCTCTGATGCAACCCTCTTATGGTTACTCCGTGTGTTACAGATGATGCATCAAAAGTCGGGCTTCTCAAGTCCCTTCCTCATGCGGACACCAAATTGTTGCTGTTCCAAGCTGACATATATGACCCTCAAGAGTTTGAGCATGCCATTGAAGGCTGTGAGTTTGTTTTCCATGTTGCCACTCCGATGCAGCATAACAACCTAAGCTCTCAGGTCAGACACTAGTGCTGTTTTAGGTAGACAGCAAATAGGATTGAACTATTTTGTCCAATCCATTCTAGTCTCATCATGAACAATAATTTGATTCAATCTGGCGCGACAAACGAAGGGTTAGTTATAATTTGAGGATTTTGATTATGCAGTACAAGGACACAGCTGAAGCTGCTGTTGCTGGGGTGAGAATCATTGCTGATTCCTGCATTCGTTCGCAGACCGTCAAGCGACTCATCTACACTGCAAGCGTACTAGCTGCGTCGCCTCGGACAGAAGATGGGGCTGGATTCAAAGCCTACCTTGATGAATCATGTTGGACACCTCTTGATGTCTCATTTCCCCATGGCACTGATTTCACAATGGTTCCTCTTCTACTTGCTCTTACATTATTCATTCTGCGATATATCAATTTCGCTGCAATAATTAACATCGAATAATTACGTTTGATTTTAATCTGGAAATGTGCTCAAGGGGTATATCGTATCAAAGACATTAGCAGAGAACGCAGTGCTGAGCTACAACGTAATTGATGGTGGTAAATTAGAAGTGGTAACTCTTCCTTGTGGCCTAGTAGGAGGAGAAACTCTTCTGCTGATTTTGCCTCCAACTGTGGGAGTAGTTTTATCACAACTTACCGGGGACTCGAACCGTTACAATTCATTAAAATTCATGCAAGAAGTTATCGGTTCTGTTCCTCTAGTACACATTGAAGATGTTTGCCGAGCACATATCTTCTGTATGGAACAACCGTCGATGAGAGGCAGATTCTGCTGTGCAGTTGCCAGTCCAAGTATCAAAGAAATCGCTGCCTGCTTCCAAGAAAACTACCCGGAATACAAGATAGCAAAAGAGTAAGGATCGAACTTTTAACTTTAATCGTTCTGAAACTTCTCCCTACTTTTGAACATTGAACTCGACGAATATTATCCATTTTCATTCACGACTGAATTCATTTCAGATTCACCGAAGGACCAGAAGGAGGAATCAAATGTGACTTTACTAAGCTGGTGAAGATCGGTTTTGAGTACAAGTATGGCATGAAGAACATACTTGATGACAGTGTAGTAAGTGGAAGGAGGTTATCAAAGAGCTCTCTTTCTCAACTGATTTAATTTTCAGACTGCAGAAACAAGAACATCATATTACAAACGCCGGTGTAATCGTGTTTTTGTTTTTAGGCTCTGCATATTCTAGTATTGTGAGAGATCCTCACTTATTGAATAAACAAAATCTTGCATACTCATTAGCATAACTATTTCAGAATTGTATGTGTTAAGACAAATTCATTCAGTCCAGTGTAAATTTAAAAAACAATTCAATCCATCTCACCCGTTTTCTCGGTTTTTCATACATTGAAGGAGAAGATCCTCTTTCAAAAATATATTTGCCTTTTGCAGCTGCGAAGGTGGAAAAAAACACAGTGATGACTACAAGCAGAAGAAGCAAGCAAATTTTGGAGACGAAACACTTTGGTTTCCCGTTGTTGGAATAAAGGTTCGGTTTCGAGGTTTAATGGTGAAGAACACAAAAGTTAAGGGACTATAAATAACCAGTTTGAAACAAGGTTCTCAAGCAAGAAGAACTCAGTGAAGACACAACTACACTTCATTGGTTGACTAACCTTAACCTACTCCCTGTGTTTTAAGGACCGTCCGTACAGAAATGCGAAAGGCTGCCATAAAGACGCGTTTACTTCTAAGTTTTGCTTCGAACTTGTTCATATGATTTTATTATCAAGGGAAATGTGGGTGCAAAAGTTAAGGGTTAATGGATCCTAAAAACTAGCCACTTCCCATGCATCCTAAAAATAAACGAGTGGAGATAAAATAAAGCAACGTGTATCAGTCACTACTAAGGAACATGGAGTGAGATAAAGAGACTTGGAGCCCAAGTTTTTAATACCTATAAAAGGCCTAAAGTCCCATTAGAACTGGGGAAGAAAAAGCAAAGAAAAAGGGAAGTATCAGACCGCTTTACAAATTCTTGAAATCATTTTGAACAAAGACTGACTTGAGCATCAGAGTGTTTTCTTATAGTTCACCCTCCTCCCTTATTGACGGTGAGTGAAGCTAGTGTTGTGGGCTTCTCAACATGGTTACAAGATTTAATAGTTGGAGGATCCGAATTATTCCACTCCAATAGAAATGTTTGTAAACAAAACTCACATCAACGCATGATAACCAAAAAACACATCATCAAGTAATCAGGCCACAAACTTATGCCAATTAACTGACACGCAAGGTCATATTAAACGCATATCAAGTTCCAAACTTGTAATCCAACAATAGAGAGCTTCTTATCACCAATATAACGACCAAGACTCTCCCCAGAAAAAGGCCAACAAAAGTACTTCTGACAACTTTAAAGTTTTTCGCTTCCGAAGTTGTCTGACAACGGCAAACACACCACCCAAAAAGGACAAGTTAGCAACTTACCAGTACCTCATAGTAACCCATCAAATTTGATAGTTTTAAAACACAGAACTCATATCAAGGGATTATCATTATGAAATCCTGGGTTAAACCCTGACTCGGATGGAAGGGTCTCATTGGATAAGATTGCACAACTTTCAGGTCACAAAGGCGAGTTATGAATAAAACTATCGAAAATGTTATCAATCAATTAGTTTGGAACGCAAATTGATATTGTGTATGTTGGGGGTATACGACTGTAGAGGCTTAAGAGGGCAAGATGTGTTTTTCCTCAGAGAGAAAGGCTATGAACATTCCTAAATGATTGATTTCTTCATGTTGTGATTATTGGAGTATAACCCTTCAGCCGATACTTGGTGGCAAAGAAACAAGTTCAAATGGTTATTTTTAGATTTGTTCTTGGTTTAAATTAGAGCCGTTGGATCATAGTCCATGTGGTTGCTCTTGCTTGTATCTAGATTAAGTGATAGATTATAACAAGTGGCATCATCTGATAGGGTGATAGCAATTAAGGGCTGAGATTAGTTTTGTTGTTGTTGAGTGAAGAATCTCCCTTTCTCTTCCTATTCTAACGGTAACAACCTCACATATTTGTTGTGAGGATATTGCAATCATACATACATCATTCTCTCCGATTCTCTCTTTGCCACTACTGGATTTCCCATGTCACCACCAAGCTTTCATTGAAGCTTATCGAAATTATCCATACACTAACATGGCCTCAGAGCCAGGTTTCATCGTTTAAACTGCGCATGAATTTGTGCAAACACCCTATGAGTGATTGAGTTGCGATAAACTATATTCATCAAACCCGAAAACCCCAAACATCATGCTTGTGGGAGATATCAAGAACCAACATCATCAATGTTTTATTCAATACTCTTATTTTTATATTCTACAAAATTCGTTCATGGAATCGTTTTATTTATCAAATATTCCAAGTTTGTCATCCTTTTCTTTTTCATTGGACCAATTTATCATATTGCCTTATCACGAACAACTTCAAAAATATTGTTACGTTTTTTATTATTGGACGTGGCTATTTAATGACGAAATTAGTAGTTACTAAATTGTAGTGCGTTAATTGAATGAATATAATTTTTTGTTTTTGACAAAGATGGATATAATCGTGGACCGATGGAAAATCCGTTACCCGGTGGGTATGGTTATATATGGATAATCCCCTATGATTGATTTGTGGTTATGAATATGATTAATTTTTGTGGTTATGGGGATGAATATAGCATTTCTATCCTCAAACCGAACTGTAACCATCCCAAGTTGGTTATAAGAGGGGCAACAAATCCTGCTCACACGTTTATTAGACGACATCTTCTGCTCTTATCTTTGTGTGGAACAAAATCATGGAGAACAAAAACTCTAGAGTTTGTGTTACAGGTGCTTCTGGATTCATTGCCTCTTCACTCGTTAACAAGCTCCTACAGCAGGGCCACACAGTCCACGCCACCCTCAGGAACTTGGGTCTCTCTCCCTCCCTCTCTCTCTCTCTCTCTCTCTCTCTCTCTCCCTGATGCCACCCTCTTACGGTTACTCCGTATGTTACAGATGATGCGTCGAAAGTTGGGCTTCTCAAGTCCCTTCCTAATGCGGACACCAACTTGTTGCTGTTCCAAGCTGACCTATATGACCCTCTAGAGTTTGAGCCTGCCATGGAAGGCTGTGAGTTTGTTTTCCATGTTGCCACTCCGATGCAGCATAACAACCTAAGCTCTCAGGTCAGACACTAGTGCTGTTTTAGGTAGATAGCAAGTAGAATTGAACTATTTTGTCCAATCCATTCTAGTCTCATCATGAACAATAATTTGATTCAATCCTGCACGACAAACGAAGTGTTAGTTACATAGGGGGCACTGAGTGGGAGCGAAATGTGCAGTCGTATAAGGCCCCAAATTTGAAGGGCCCCCAAAATTTTTGTCATCTAATCTAATATTTATATGTAATAATGTTCTATATTTAAAAATTACTTTTGTTATGTAATAACGTTAAATATTTAAAAATTATTTTTGTTAGCACTTTAAAATTTCATTATATATAAGCATATTTTTTTTTACTTTCTAACACCTTAAAAATGGTATTTTTTTACAATTTTATTATATAATAATGTTATATATTCAAGTGAAACTTTAAAGTTAGAAATTTTTAAATTTTTTTTCCTTGTTTGGTTGTTTAAGATTGAACTGCTTTTAATTATTTAGTGAACGTTATATTTATAGCTCTTTTTACTTATTATTAATGACATTTTTAAACTTGCAATCAGTGAGTACTAAACTTTATTTTGATTTAAGTGATTATTTTCTAGCATCATTACATTGTCCTACATTAAAAAAAAACTAATGAAAATGGCTTGAAAACTTTGAGTTTTAATGATAATGACAAAATAAAGGGTAAAATGAATAGTAGCAGGTTTGACTTTTTAGTGTAAAAATGTGTTTTTTCGTTAAAATGAACAGTACCACGGCCTTTTTGTTAAAACTCAATTTTTAAAACTATCTTAAGAGGGGCTTTCATAAATTTCGTATAGGGCCTCCAAAATCTGAGAGACGGCCCTAGTTAGTTATAATTTGAGGATTGTGATTATGCAGTACAAGGACACAGCTGAAGCTGCTGTTGCTGGGGTGAGAATCATTGCTGATTCCTGCATTCGTTCGCAGACCGTCAAGCGACTCATCTACACTGCAAGCGTACTAGCTGCGTCGCCTCGGACAGAAGATGGGGCTGGATTCAAACCCTACTTTGATGAATCATGTTGGACACCCCTTGATGTCTCATTTCCTCATGGCACTGATTTCACAATGGTACCTCTTCTACTTGCTCTTACATTATTCATTCCACGATATATCAATTTCGCTGCAATAATTAACATCGAATAATTACGTTTGATTTTTAATCTGGAAATGTGCTCAAGGGGTATATCGTATCAAAGACATTAGCAGAGAAAGCAGTGCTGAGCTATAACGACATTGATGGTGGTAAATTAGAAGCAGTGACTCTTCCTTGTGGCCTAGTAGGAGGAGAAACGCTTCTCCCAAATTCGCCTCTAAGTGTGGGAGTAGTTATATCACAACTTACCGGGGACTTGAATGGTTACAATGCATTAAAATTCATGCAAGAAGTTATCGGTTCTGTTCCTCTTGTACACATTGAAGATGTTTGCCGAGGACATATCTTCTGCATGGAACAACCATCGATGAGAGGCAGATTCTGCTGTGCAGTTGCCAGTCCTAGTATCAAAGAAATCGCTGCCTTCTTCCAAGAAAACTACCCGGAATACAAGATAGCAAAAGAGTAAGGATCCAACTTTTAACTGTAATCGTTCTGAAACTTCTCCCTACTTTTAAAATTGAACTCCACGAAGATTATCCATTTTCATTCACGACTGAATTTATTTCAGATTCGCCGAAGGACCAGAAGAAGGAATCAAATGTGACTTTACTAAGCTGGTGAAGATCGGTTTTGAGTACAAGTATGGCGTGAAGAACATACTTGATGACAGTGTAGCAAGTGGAAGGAGGTTATCAGAGAGCTCTCTTTCTCAACTGATTTAATTTTCAGACTGCAGAAACAAAAACATCATATTACAAACGCTGGTGTAATCGTGTTTTCGTTGTTAGGCTCTGCATATTCTAGTATTGTGAGAGATCCTCACTTATTGAATAAACAAAATCTTGTATACTCATTAGCATAACTATTTCAGAATTGTATGTGTTAAGACAAATTCATTCAGTCTAGTGTAAATTTAAAAAACAAATCAATCCATCTCACCCGTTTTCTCGGTTTTCATACATTGAATGAGAGGATCCTCTTTCAAAAATATATTTGCCTTTTGCAGCTGCAAAAGTGTAAAAAAAACACAGTGATGACTACAAGCAGAAAGAATTAAGCAAATTTTGGAGACAAAATACTTCGGTTTCCCGTTGTTGGGGTCAGTGGCAGATCTAGGAATTTAAGGTCGGGTGGTCCCAATATAATATTAAAAAATTAATCCGTAAACTACAACTTTTCATTCATAATTTTTGTACTAACAACATTACGAGCAACAAAGATTAAATTTGTTTATGATAAAGTGTCATACCTAAAAATGTGTCATGATATTCAGGGTCTCTGAAGATTGGAAAGGTGATTGGTGTTGGCTGGTGGTGCCTTCGGTTGGGTGGGATGGGGATTGGGGAATGGCCCGATGGGAAGCAATTAATGGGTTATAAGAAGATTTGGGAAAATGGGCTCTTTTGAAAGTAAAGCCCCTACGAAACTTAGCCTCCCACGTGACTTAGAGATTGTTTTCAAACCCATAACAAACTGCACTGTTTCACTCAAATGGCTTGGGTAAAACGACTTCGTCAAGCCAAGTCATTTGAAAAGGAATAATCAATCTTCTTTTTCTTTTCCTTCTGGTTTGTTGAATTCCAGAAAAGAGTGCAGCAGTTGCTCATCTCCGCTCTTATCTGCCCAGACTTGGGTGGTCATCGAAGGTCTTCACAGCTACTTATCCGAGCTTTTGGGTGGTCCTAGGACCACCTAGGTCCTTTAATAGATCACCCTGGTGGGGTAAAGGTTCGATTTCAAAGTCTTTTAATGGTGAAGAACATAAAGTTAAGGGACTATAAATAACCAATTTGAAACAAGGTTCTCAAGCAAGAAGAACTCAGTGAAGACACAACTGCACGATACTAGTTAACTGACCTCAACCTACTCCCTGTGTTTTAAGGCCAGTCCGTACAGAAATGTGAACGGCTGCCATAAAGATACATTTATTTCTAAGTTTTGCTTCAAACTTGTTCATATAATTTTATTTCTAAGTTTTGCTTCAAAAATTAAGGGTCAATGAATCCTAAAAACTAGCCACTTCCCATGCATCCTAAAAATAAGCAAATGGAGATAAAATAAAGCAACGTGAATCAGCGACTACTAAGGAACATGGAGTGAGATATAGAGACTTGGAGCCTGACATGCCCCGATCCCGATGTTCCCCGAACACCAGGGTAGGTACGTGTTGGCTAACACTCGAGGGTGACGAAAGTCATTATTTAAAACATGAGAACTAAAATATGAATAAGATAAGAGAAATTTAAATATAATTAATATGCAAATGAGGAACGTGTTCAGAACATACAACTAACTAGAGCACTAAAAGAAATAATATAAAATTGAATGAATAGAAGAATGGGTCCTACATTGAGAGGACTCGAAGATGCCGATGCAGAAGTGACTTGACACTGGAATTGTACGCCTCAATTCTAAATCCTGAGGGGGTGCAAAACAAACATAAGTGGACCAAGTTGATATATATATATATATATATAATAAAATAGTTATTTAACGTACTAACCCCCAAAGTTTTACGAAAATTCAATAGTATAATATGTAATAGGTTTTCCGAAAACCCTAGCATGCCATAAAACCTTTCATAAAACATATCTCATATATAGTGTGTTAACTAATGGTATCAGTATCGCCCAAAGGCATATAGAACTCTTCTTTCAGAAACTTCCTTCACAAGTATCAATCACCCGTAGGCTCCTACAACACCCAACCCGAAGGTCAATATAAACATCAATCGCCCGAAGGCTCCTACAACACCTAACCCGAAGGTCAATATAAGTGACCACTAGATAAGCACAAAACCACTGAAAATAATCTTTCCAAACGTAAGTACATATATCTTAAAAGCATCTTCATAGTATAAAGTCATCCATCATCTATACTATAAATAAGTGTGTAAAAACATGCTCTAAATAGTACATTGTCATCCATCAGATATCCTACAAAGAACATGGGGTTTGATAGAAAATATGGTATTCCAAAATATTCTAAGTAAGCATGATAATCATATAAGGTAAATCCAATTTACTCATAAAACGTTATCTAAAACGTGATCATTAAATCATGCTTTTCATGTATGCATTTCTACTAATAAAACATGCATTTTAGAAGGGGTCCACTCACAAATACTTTGTTGTCAAAAAGCCACGCAAACTAGCGAAGACATAACGCCACAAACAATTGCCCCTAAGAACATAAAGGGTACAAATAATAAAACTTTATTCAAACGATTGAATTTGGGAAAATGAATGTCAAAAATAGATTCAGGATGTCGAATTACCCTAAGAAGGGTCTCGGGTAAATTTCATAAAAGTCAACACAGGGAATATTCCAGAGAATATTCCCTGACGAAATGTTCCCTAATAGAATATTCCCTAATGGAATATTCCCCATAAAATGTTTGGGCCGGTTAAGGTTTAGGGTTTGAAAGGTTAAAGGGTTTAGTGGGCCAAAGGCCCTAGATTACAAGGGTTTGGATTAGGCTTTTAAAAAAGTTGGGCTTTAAGAGTTTGGGTTTAGTTTCAAACAAATAAAATAAATAAAAGGGGTTCGGGCTTTGGGGGTTACGGGCCTAAGGCCCGAGTTCTAAATGGCCCAAAGGCTTAACCAAACATTTGTAACTTTGAAAAGATAAATGTAATATAGGGTAATTCAAAATACTTATATTGAAAACCAAAACTGAAAATGGAAGTGGGTCTCGCCCAAACACACGTAACGTCACGTACTCCAAGAAAATAATTGTCTTTGGGTTGAGCCCCAACAATAGCGAATATGTAACAACTACCATAGATGGGTCTTCCTACCCACTTGCTTAACGAACCCAACAAATAAGTTATCAACACAACAATCGGCCGTCCGCGATATCGACCACATATTTGTTGTCTCGATAAGCAAGCAGTAATTTCCTGATGGTGCACAATTTCACATGTCGTAAATTCGATCCTCTGAATACCAGTTCACAATACTTCTCTATCAACCAGTGTTGCCTGTAGAAAACTTTCGTAACATGTCGCAAAAGTGCCATACCAAAACTGAACAAAATAAGAATTGTCATCGTAACAACTCCATTCTCCTCAATTCTTCCAAATGTGACCAACTACTCCAATGCTTTGCCAACAAAGAACCCATTTGAAAACTGTACCTTGGGATTCAAGAGAAGTGACTACCATGTTAATAGTAGACCCAAAAACTTGAGCCAAGCAAGAAGAAAATGAAAAGACACCTTCCTCAACAAGCAGTATCTCTTGGGAGCTGTTGTAATGCTCAATCCACCTCTCCATTTTTGCTTAGTTGTAGATTCCTAGTCAAACAAGGTCAAAGTTCGTGGAAGGACAAAGGACTCTCAATTCATCAACCTAAAAACCCTATGAGAGCACACACCATTTGAGAGCAGTGTAAATTCTACATGTGCTTAAGCCACAAGACGAGTGAACACAACGCGTCCTCCAAAGTCTAGATAGTTCACGAATGGTACCCTCAAAAAATATTCGAGCAATGAACTTATATCATTGGGACAGAACTACTAAAGTATGATTTGATGCTTATGAATTGCAGTAGGATAATGAGTGGTGACTATTCAATTCAGCATGAAGATAGTGATGCAATCTGTAGACCACCTGCACTACAACCTTCATCAATGTCTTACTAAAAGACGGCTTAAACCTCACACCTACATGTAACTCTTTCTGGTAAGTATGGTAAACTTGTGGAAAGGTTATGCTCCTAATGTTCTTGTCTAAATCGATAAGAACTAAAAGCGTGCTTCAGCCGAGTCGATCGATCATGAATTCCTCACTGATTGTGAGAGAAACCATGTCAAGAACGCTAAAAGAATACTCAAGAATTTGAGGGTCAAAACAAGTCCATTAAAATCTAGACTGTAATGTTCGGGCATGATCCCGTAATAAAAATAGAAGTCACTGTTTATGATTATTTTGGTTAATCATCTTAGTAAGGTTGATTGATTTCTTAGCCAAAAAGGACATAGGTCTAAGCTCAAAGAATAGTTAATAACTGCTAATAAGATTTGACGAGGCCAAAGACATTTCGTAATTCACAATACTGTGTGTGAGCTGTTTCAAAGGTCAAAATTTAAACATAGAACCTTTAAATCAACAGAATGACGAAGAAGAAAGATACAAAACAGTATGCGCATGCATGCAGTGGCATGATTGGCTACCTTAAAGTGATGCCCTTGAGCAAACCAAAGCTCAATGAGTCCAGAGAAGTTCAGAGCAAAGCTCAATCTTCCTACAATGATGAATATGGTGGAGTCTCAAGCCATTACATTGAAAATTACAAGGCTAAACAGTTAGTGGACAAGAGCACTGGTCAATTAGGCTACAAGCAAGAGGCTAAGTTCACCTCTATTTAAAAGTACGTGGACAAGGAGCCAGGGTTTACTGCCAAGTACCAGATCCAGGTGAAGTTCAAGGAGTCTGTTTATCCAACCAAGACTAGATCTTCATCATCCAAGTCCAACTACAACCACAACAAGAATTGCAACTTCTTTTAGAAATTGGTGAGAATAGCGTATGCTATCTAGGAGTTTCCCAAGAAAAGTATTTAACGTAAATGAAGTCAACGCTCAAAGGATTTGGTGTGAAGCTGACAGTCAATGGTTAAGGAACTTGACTTCGTCGTTGGAGTAAGCAAGGAAGTTATCGATAGAACAATAGCCGAGAATTGTTCTAAAGATCCACACAAATTTCTTCAGTGGGAATGAGTCCGAGAACATGGATTCGATCCCACCAATTACCACTTACTAAACTTCATAATAACTAGCGTTGACTTGCTTTCTCTAACCTGCATTTCGAAAGTTTCAAGTAAATTCCAAAAAGATATGACTATTGATGAGTAGATTTTATATTATATATTTTACCCTAATCTTAGTATATTTTGGTTAATATATTGGAAGAATTTTGATACTTTG